TTCAGGGGTGATCGTACCCCCGTACACATCCGTGTACTCCGAGCAACCCGCCGCTGCTCTTCGCCGATTCGAGAGTGCGAAGACTCTCAGGGGCTAAGTCCCCGTGGTACGCGCCACCCGCGCACCCATCACGAAGACTTAGTTCTTCCCCAGTAGGGCGCCCCGCCCCTACTGGTTCCCTGCGTTCCCCTGTCCCCGGGATCCTGGCTTCTGCCAGCGACCCTTGAGGACGGGCTTGGGGAAGGACCGTCTGCGGAGTCTTTCCGCGGGACAGTCGCGCTTGAAGTGGCCCATCTTCCCACAGCCGAAGCAGCCGATGTCACGCTGTTCGGCGGACCCGAGTTCCATGGGAACTGGTCCGTTGGGGCTTGTTCGACCGGGAGCCGACAAGGAACTCCCAGGCCACGCTGAGGCCGGCGTACGCGCCTGGCGATGGCTGTATTCTTCTTGAAGAGCCACTTGAATCGCCTCTTCAAGGGTGCTTGCCTGCACCCGGAACAGCTGAGTGCGTGCGGGGCCCACTCGAAGGCCGTCCATGAACACAGTCATCTTGATGTGTTCATTGAGTGGGTTTCCCACTAGGGACGCCGTGAGCTCCCGTATCTCTTGCACATACTCGTGCAGTTCGCGTCTTCCTTGTTTACACGCGAGGAAGCGCGAACGCTGGCGGTACTCGTAGTTCGCCGGGAGGAACGCGGCTCGGAGCTGTTCGCACAGCTGAGCCCAGGATGTGAAACATCCAGAGGATGTCGCTTCCCGAGTGTACACCCAACTCTTAGCACGACCGCTAAGGTTGGAGAGTGCAAAAGCAACACGCAGTTGCTCGGTCGAGATCAGAGCCGCGTCCATCGCGAGCTCTACTTCTCGGACCCAGAAGTGAAGGTTCTCGCCTTCCTTCCCTTCATACGGCTTTACCTTCAGCCGTATTGGCTTCGGGTGAGGCGGGTTTGCTTCCGCCGCCGGAGCCTGCAGGTTCTCCCGCACATGCGCGATGAGGCCCTGCTCGTACGCGTCGAATGCATTGACGCGCTCGAGCTGCTCAGCCGGTGTTGATACCACCAGGCTCTGCAGGGCCTCCATCCCGAAGATGCCTGCCATCTTACGAACCGACTCGAACTGAGAGTCGTTCATATGGGAGAAGTCGTTCCTATCCATGGCAACGAACTTCGGAGGTTCAGGTAGTCTACCCGCGATGGCGTGGATTGACTACAAGTGCTACCAAGTGTGACGGGGTCACACAGCACCTTGCGCTAGAGGAAGTTATCTTCCGAGAGTATACAAACTCTCAGTGAACGGCAGTTCACAGGTCCCCTCTTTAATTAAAGAGAGCGAAGTGACCTAAATAAGGTAGATTGTAAACTGAGTATATTTATAGGTAGGTTAAGTTTGAGGTTAATACAAACTATCAGTTACCTATAGTAATGCAATGTCATTTAACCAATGGTTGGTTTTGAATGACCTTGGTACCTTGTACCAAATATCCCGGAGTATGACATGTCATACTCCTGAAGTGTGAAGTGTCACACTTCATGTAACCAGGGTACACTTAGTGCTACGTACCCCGTTACACTAGCAGTCTATTGCGTATCTTGCGCTGCTCCGCTCCCATACACACAGTGCACGCCATGACGTGATTCTAAACAACGTCGAAGGACTTCACCCCCTCCAGAAACGCGTCTGCGACGGACTCCTCGGCTGCGAAGGCCTTCTGCTGCCACGGGATACGCTTTGGCATTTGGATGAGTGTCAGACGGCCACCATGCAGGTTCTGGAAGGCCACCCGTTGAGTAGTGGTCCACACAATTTCTGCCGACGCACGCTGTGTCACGCTCACGATGCCTCCCTATTCCAAGATCTCATTGGCTTCTTCCTATCCTCTGCCTTCAACTCGATGCACAGCCACAGAACGGCCACAGATTTCATTGACCCCACTTTTAATTGTGCTGCTACCGTAACGTGCTGTGTTCCCCAACTTTTGAGGTGCTGCCGCAGATCTAAGGTGCCGAGACGCAGTGAAGTGTGAAATTGACGCGTTCTCTCTAGAAAGATCGATTTGTACTTTTTATACCTCGATATGATAAACGACCTTTATTTATTAAAAATCGAGCATCAGGCTTAGTGAAAAGGACAAAAGCATTGAAATGCACAATAATAATATCTTTCGGAGCTTATTAATAGGGGTACAGTACTGCACCCCGTTTACGCGGAGGTGGATCATATAGTATTTGCAAATAAATCTGATTTTAGCTGAGCAAACCTTTGTTCTTTTGGATTCAGGATCATCACATTCGGAAGTTTATCGAACGTCCAAGGGCGCGAAAACGGGGTGCAGTACTGTACATGTAACGGGAATCCCGCCTGTGCCTGCATTTCAATATACTGTACTGCAGGAGCTACTGTATATCCAGTTTATCTAAAGATTTGCAGTCTTCATACCGGTAAAGTTTACCGTAAACAGCTTGAGCTCAATAAGGACGATCTGCGAATAAGTTTGGAAGCTCTGTGATCATCGTCTCCTACATTGCAATACCGGTAAGGGCGATCTGTGAAAACGTTTGGGGGTTCTGTGATTACATGAGTCCAATACCGGTAAGGGATCTGTGAAAACGTTCGGGGGTTATGTGATTACATGTACATGTATTGTTACATGTACTGTACATGCACCGGCAACTGTAACGATTTGACAAATTGTTTTTTGAGCCGGTGTAGTATTAGGATAAGGTGGTGCATGTGCATGTACAGGTACGACGGGACTCGAAGAGTGCAGACTTCCGAATGATGGTTCGATTATACATGTAGGATTCAGTGCAGTTTGCTACAGTATTGAAGGTGAGTACTCGTGGTACTGTACATGTACATGGAGTCCGATTACATTTCACTTATTTGCGATCATGAACATTTCATTTCACGAAAAAAAGGAACGGTACATGTACGCGCAGTGCGCGTACATAATCTGGATGGGCGCGACCGGGATCTCACATTTGTATCGCGACAGAACTGGGAGAGAATGAACTATTCTGCTAACTTTATAGCTTAGTCAGTCGTTGTAGGGACGAAAAATAGCGCTGAGAATAAGACTTCGCACTATACTGACTCCTATATTAACATGTAGCCGCAACATTTAATAAAGGCTAATTGT